AACCCTGCTCGGCAATAAATGAAGATGTGCTACGATGTCGCCTGTATATTCGAGTCAGCATTAGAGAGATATAAACCTGAATGGAAAGAGAAAATATATCTTCACTCACAGGTACCGCGAAATCACCCACCATTTTCGCCTCGGAGAGGGCAAACACCAGCTCAAAAGGGGTCTTCTAACGTATCAAGCATCTCTCTCGTACTGAAGACTAGAATGGTCACCCCCGAGGACCTTTTAAGAGATACTACAGGGTTAGGGGTAAACGCACGTGATCGCGCAGTGGGTAGTTGAGCCACCCCTTGGTCGGAATTATTTTTGCTTCTCGCGTCCTGAGTATGAGGGCAGCCGTTCTGAGGGCTCGAGAATCTGGAAGAAGTACGTTGAGTCATTATAAGGAGATTCACAAAACCTTCCTCATTCCAGATGAACCTTCTCCTATCGGTTGGATCTTAGATATGCTGTGGCAAGCGAAGGGTTTCCACAGCAGGGTGAGCAGAGCCGCCCAAATTTTTATAGGGATGTCGTTGTGAGATAGAGTATTATCTTCAGTGTCACTACATTCCTCGAAAGCCCGAGACTTCTGGCAGAGCCGATAGGGATAAGTCAATGAATATCCTCGAGATTTATGAAAGATTCTGCGTCCGTCAGCTTGTTATGGTAATTTGCACCGCTAAAACTGTTATCCCTATCAACTAACGCTTGAATTCAGAGTGTCGACAGTAGAACGACGGTTGGCGTCACCGACCGAAGGGTTAGCCCTAGACCTCGACGGCAGTATGCTTACTTGTTTTTCTTTACTTCTGTACATCAGGCAGAAAATTCGCTGTACTCTTACACTTACGCGATGGTACGAGTGCATACACGTCTCAACTCAATACAGAGATCTCTCGTCGAGTGTACAGTTCAGACGTTAGTACATGACTGGTTAGGAAGTTACTTAAGCACTAAGAAATTGATTCAAGAGGTCATGTTGAGAATCAATACTACTTTTCTTCTCCGCATGTCATGGTAATGATTCTGGTATATTTTGAAGCTGTAGATTCGAGGTGCATGATGGATGCGAGTACTAGAGGCGGGGGAGTTCGGGCTAAGCCTAGGAAAGAAGGTTTGGGAACTTGCCATTGTACACTTGAAGATTGCGGGATTAAAGAACTATATGATTAAAGGAATTAATTCATCCGCAAGACCTAAGCCCATCAAACTTCGGCCCAAAGACAAATGAACTTTTGCTGCATGGAATGTCAGCCTTGGAAGCAGAATATAGACTTTGCTACTCGCTACACACATGTTGGTTCTGAACTCGTTGCCCGTTTGTTATCTGCCGGGGAAGGGGTGGATTCGACGAGAAACAGATGTGTATGTACAATAATAACCCTAAGCCCTAACCCGCTTCGCAGGGATCCTCCGTGTTATTCTCTTCCTCCTTTTCCATCTTTCTTCAAGTTCTCGTTTGCCATAATTTTCGCCTCGCTCGCAAGCTCGCATTGCGGAGTGAAAAAGGAACGCCTGGAGTACGGGAACACTTCCTTTTTATCATCTTTCCTTTCCCGTCGCGGGTAGCACATCAGGATGCGGCATCGGAAATTCCAACTACCAGCTTGATTTTGCCAACTCGTTACAGGTCGTTTCCGAACCGAGCTTTCAAGCTAGCTATGCCGTCAATTGCTCTTGAAGCTTGCTTCAGCACGTACGTACACTCCAATCCAACCCTCGACTCTATTCATTTCCCACACCCGATCGTGGGTCTTATCAGACTGTCGCTATGTTCAAGTTGCAAGGTAGAGCTCTAGCACTAATTTTGAATGTTGATGGACAGGTGAAAATGACTGAGTTCGGAGTTGGTCAATTGGTCTCCGCCTTCCAGAATGCTTATGCTGAACGAAGTATGAAACCAGCATCCATATGGCAACGAAGCGCTGTTTACCTTCACATTCGATAGCATTAACGATCCAAGCGTAAAACAGAATCTTTTTACGCTTGGATCGTTCAAGAAACTTGGAATAACGGTTCCCCATTTGTTTCCGGACCAATGGTTAAGCTAATCAAGGCGGTGCAACGTTAACGTACGTGTTATTTGCACTGGAGATGTTAGTGTGAGCGGAGCCAAGGAGCTCAGTGGTATTTCATCACGACGGCGTTCACGGGTGGTGGAGGTTGGAGGCTGTATTGTGGTGAATAGCAGCCATGGATAAGTTGTTCTCCTATATGGAAAAAAGGGCGTTTATTAAATACAAAGATGAACTCTCTGGCGGGAGGAACGAAGTGGGGGAGGGAGTGTTGGGGTAATTGTTTATCGAGAGAATAAATCAATGATGAATGCCAGAATCTAAATAGAAGTAAGTAGTTAATCATATCTACTTTCCCTCATCGATTGACAAATAGTGAAAAGTTGGGGGACGCAAGAGTCCCAGAAGCTGCCCAAAGCATTTCAAAAAGTATCCATACAGTTATTTACCAATAGGACTTTAGTAGCAGCTTCAAAAGAGGATATCATCTGGTTTTGCGGTATTTCTGTTTATCCCACCATGGGCGTGTCTAACCTCAGGTTAGATCCAACGGTGCATTTTTACGGACTTATTAAAGTCAGCATCAAACGCCGGAACTCTAGCTCGAGATCTCCCTCCTGGAGATACTTACAAGAAGTCTAATCGGCCGACTACTTCCTCAATCGACCTCCACCTGACCTCAACGTCACGTATGTAAATCTATACATGATGTTGCGTGAATTCTGCTGATATGTGCGGTTTACAGTAATAGCATCCACAGCTGCACTGGTACCAGAGTCTTTCGTACCCAGGACTACCCACACCTAGACTTAGAAATCGTTTGCGACAACGGTGCTACAGAAACCGCCCATATCTATATGGTCGGACTCGGCATCTTCCCCAAGCAAGTCCTCCTCGCTACTCTCGGGAAGCGTAAAGACAACTTAACAGTTATCAACGATACCTTCAAGCAAAACGCCCCCACGTTTCCACCTGAGCCACACCCACCTCCCGTCTTCCGGAGGAATTCTCACACTCCGTGCTAGTAGGGAGGGTCTTTTGGCTGCAGCCAGGGGTCTCGTTCCTCCTCCGCCAGTCCATCGCTCTAAGGGACGAATTGAGGTATGTGTTATTTTACATATTACCACGGGGGTGAATGCACGGCGCTGAACCGAGACCATCCAGTAATCAACCTACGTAAGCAGTGATGCATATGTTGATATTGAAAGATATTTTGTCATGAGTGAGGTTAGGGTTGAGTCGTTGTCAAAGAGCTGAGACTTGGAGCAGAGCTTGAAAAGGATAAGATAACAATGAGGCTCTGCGAGCATTACTGGAACGATGGGGTTATATTTACTTTTCTAGATATTTTTGCTTCACTTGACAATTATTGATAGATTTTGCAATTGATCTTTGTGTGCTTCTTCTTCTTCGTTCTTGCATCCTTTGGTCGTATTGTGTTTACCTCCCGATCGGGTTTCATGGCTCTCAATGCGCACCATGGCTGCTGCTGATGGAATTCACAAATGCGTTGACAGAATATCAAACTTCCACAATGTTCGATCTTTTTCTTGCGGAATCCTCGGTGTGTTGGAGAAAAAGATTGTAGAATCCGGATAGTATAATATCATTCGATAGAACTTTTAAGTTTTAAATCCTCTTTGTTCTGCATGTTACTTATACCTGCTCTTCTACTCTGAAGTTGCCCCAGCCAGTCGAAATTCAACATCCGATAGCCACTATGCCTAACGAAACGATGGTCACGATTATTGAAACATTTTTTGATGGGCTTTTCGAACATATTCTAGATTTACAGTATTGTCAAGCGGGCAATGGTATCCCTACGCTTGTCCCGCGCCAACGTATCACGGAATCTGTAAGCTTTCAATTCCCACTTATCGTGTCTAGGTTGTTAATAGATGGATAGAGTTTGATGAACCTGATCTACAATATCAGCCCCTGGATTCCAACCGACATGGGCCCGAAAAAATCCTATTTATAATACATCGTATATGGAAATAATTTCCTTCCACCTTGACGATTTTCTCGAAATGGGGGGATACAATTATATCTACATCGTGGGTTGGGATGAGGAGGGAGTTTATGATTTGGTGTTTTCGAATGTGTGCCTACCGCTTAAGCAGAAGGGGAGGTTAGGTGTTTGATATTGATCTTAGGCAATTTTTCTGAAGGCAAATGTTGTGAATTATCTAGAGTATAATATCTGTCGGTTCGGTCGTGCCCTTTCAAATCCCTGACAGAAAAGAATGACATGACCACTCCTCAAAGTCTCTTACCTTTCCTTCTTTCTTGCAGCCACAATCCTACAGCTGTATATATAACCTACATACCATTTTTGTACTAGTGGTTGATTTCACTTCCTTATTTATTAGAAGTAGTAATAGTAAACAATGCCGTCTCTTATTATCCACTGGTCTCTCGGGAAATGTTCAAACCCATACCCCAAGGCTTCCTTCCAACTAGAGTAAATTCGGCACAAACTGCGATCAATGACTGAGACAGAATGATTCCAGGCATAGAAATCTCTATTTGATTGAAACACGGCTAGAAACCTGCGAAACATAAATGGAACGATAATTATATCTAAAACTAATAACCCACGACGCTGATATGAGGAAAATAATATTAACCGATTTCGTCAAGCGAAAGAAGCCATATATCTGGAGAACATACACTTGACACCGGAATATAAGTCGGGAGACTATATAGGCTCTAAAATCTTGGCAGCTCTCATACCGCCACGAAGGTATGTGTATGTACTCTCTTCTGCCCCCTGGATTCTAATATATAACTAGTTGATTCAGCTGCTACGAATTTTTTGTGTTGGAAATATACCCGTGGCAAAATCTTACATGACCGTCGACATGCATCGATCGGTATATATTGGTGGACTTCGCAAGAGGGTTTTAGATTAAATGTCACTGAAACTACAGATTTCTGTGAGATTCGTCAAGGCTATAATAGCGTAATTCCCCGGTAGGATCCAAAGAACTTGGTTTCATAGTGTAGTTGGTTATCACATTTGTCTAACAGTTTCCTCTGTCCCCAGATCGAGCCTAGGTAAAATCATCCCATTAATTATTTATTCCCCTTTCCCTCTCCACAATATTAATTCCTACTATTATATCTCAAAACCATCTCTCTCTAAATCCACCTCCCCTCTCCTCTATATCCCTCTCCCCTTCTCCCCCAAACCACTAAATCAACCCCCCCTCCCCCAACCTCCTCCTCACCTCCTCCCCCTCCTCCACATCCTCCACCTTCTCCATCCCCCTCACAGCCTTCACAGCAGAAACCTTACTACTCTCACACAACTCCCCCGCCACCACCAACTCATCAAGTACCGCATACGCCTCCCGTATCCCAAAAACTATGTCCAGCTCACACACATCGCCAAAATACATATCCAGGCATTGTACAAACCTATGCAATATCTCGAGGGCTAGGAGATGATTATCGGTTGTACACGATGCGGCAATGACGTGTAGAGAGGCGTAGCGTCGGTGGGTCAGGGTTGAGTCTATTTCCATGTATCCATTAGAAAAACACAACCGGGGGGGGCTTGGCGACTGCTGGGGGTCGGGGGGGGGGGGACATGCCTTGGTACTCGATAAACGCGCACTCAGACTTTTTTCTCGACAACACCAGGGTTGCAACGTCCGCTATGGTTTTTGCTTTTTGCAGTGAAGAAAGGGGGAGGAACCATTTTGTGAGGCGCTACTTGGGGCGTTAGATATAACCCTGGGAAAACAAGGTTGGGGGAAAGACGGACGGGTTTGCCTTGGCGGGAGAGCATGAGGATGAATCTGATTATATGCAAGTCAGGTACAGGTACGGAGGGTTTTTGTGTGTGTGGGGAGGGGGGGTACTTTATTGCCATTGGTGTTTAGGAGGAATGGAATTTGGAGTATGCTGGATTGGGTGGTTGGGGAGAGGGAGTACGTAGATCTTGTTACACACATGGGCACTCACGTGCTCGGGGACTAAGGGAAGGGGGAGAGGAAGTGAAGGGTGAGGTTGAGATAAGCTCATCTGACATCGACATCCTGGCAGCGATCTTGGCTTGCAGGGGGTGCGCGTGCAATCTAATCCCCTTACTACGCCCACGCTGCTGCGGGCAACCAAAAGGGAGGGAAGATAAAATGGCTTCCTACTGAAATAATGACAGAGCACCGACTAGCGGGAAGTACGAATGAGAGAGACGGAGCAAAAGAGGAGGAAGAACGACACAATCTGTGTAAATCAAGGTGGGTCAGTAAGTATAGGAGACTATGGAAGAGCAAGCGAGATAGTGAGAGTATAGAACCCGATATCACTCAGAAAGAGAGTTGTCTGCATCTCATTACACTCTGAAATTGAAGAATGCCTAGAGCATGATCGGGACGCCAGCCAGGGTCGGCAAGAAACGCGAATAAATCTGCAGGGAAGAGAAGACAGAAGAGAGAGATAGAGTAAAACAGAACAAGAATAAAATTAAGGTGATCTAATCCCGTAAGTAAATGCTGCCTTGCTCAAATTAATCTGCCGAGCAAGTGACCGAATGTGTATGTTGCCAGGAAACACGGTTTTATTTCCGGAAGCCAATTAGAGTGCTGTCAGTGATCGTTTACAGATTCATCGACACCAGTCCTACGCATGGAATCCCAAGCACGCAAAAATCAGTGCACAATGTGATCGGAGAATCATATTTTCACAAGGGAGTAACAAAAAAATAAATACAATCCACCACTTCATCCATCCGTTTCCTTTTAGCATTTCCCAAATGAATTTATATGCATCCTCCTACCCTACCACCACTCATCTTCCAATAATCGTACACGGTATCCTTTTTTTTTAAACCATTACATCACATTTACTCAACGATACGAGTGACAAGACCAGTAGCAACGGTACGACCACCCTCACGAAGGTTGAAGCGCTGACCTTGCTCGACAGCCATGGGGTGCAGGATCTCGGCCTCCATCTCAGTGTTGTCACCGGGCATAACAATCTTGGAAGAAGCATCCTCAGTTCCCTCAGGGAAGTTAAGGGTGCAGGAAACATCGGAAGTTCTCAAAAACATCTGGGGGCGGTAGTTGCCGTGGAATCCAGTGTGGCGTCCACCCTCCTCCTTGGTGAGAATGTAGGCAGAGACCAAGAACTTGGTGTGGGCGCGGGTAGTACCGGGGCGGACCATGACCATTCCGCGGCGAACCTGCTCGCGCTTGACACCACGGAGGAGAATACCACAATTATCACCAGCCTGAGCGGAATCGAGCTCCTTCTTGAAGGTCTCGATACCGGTAACAATAGTCTTGATGGGATCCTTGTTGAAACCGATGAGCTCGATTTCCTCACCCTTCTTGAGTTGACCACGCTCGACACGTCCAGTAGCGACAGTACCACGTCCGGCAATGGAAAAGACATCTTTCCGGTCATATTAACATCGCCCGAGGATGGTGGATACGGGATATTGAACACATACCTTCAATGGGCATCAAGAAAGGCTTCTCGAGATCACGCTTAGGAGTTGGGATCCATTCGTCAACAGCAGCAAGGAGTTCGTCGAGCTTCTGGGAACCGATTTCGGGGCGGCGGTCCTCAAGAGCACATAGAGCAGATCCCATGACAATAGGAGTGTTGTCTCCGTCGAAACCGTAGTTAGTTAGGAGATCACGCATTTCCATTTCGACAAGTTCCAACATTTCCGGGTCATCGATAGCGTCAATCTTGTTGATAAAGACGACAATACGGTCGACACCAACCTGGCGGGCAAGCAGCAAATGTTCACGGGTTTGAGGCCTGCAATTGATTAACACTCCGCACTGATGGTAGCTGAAGGCAACGGCACAACATACATTTGACCATCGGAAGCAGCAACAACAATGATAGCACCATCCATAGACGCAGCACCAGTAATCATGTTCTTGATGTAATCGGCGTGACCAGGACAATCGACGTGGGAGTAATGACGGTTGGCAGTTTCGTATTCAATGTGAGCGGTCGAAATGGTGATACCACGAGCCTTCTCTTCGGGGGCCTTATCGATGGAAGCATAGTCGACGAAGTTGGCGAATCCCTTGGAGGCCTGGTTCTTGGTAATGGCGGCAGTTAGAGTAGTCTATGATACTGTAAGTATACAAGGTTCGAATCGGAGATGGTGGCGGGATGATGGACCTTTCCGTGATCGACATGACCGATGGTGCCTGGGGACAATTAGACAACTGCTACCGCTTCCGCATCAATTGAGCAGATAGGGAGCCTACCGATGTTTACATGGGGCTTTGTCCGTTCGAAGGTGGCCATCGACCGAATGGGCGAGAACCGGGCACTAGCAGCCCACGCAGCCTTGCAGCTGAGCGCAGGCGCTTCTGTTGAGATGAAAGATTGTGGCAGCCGGATGATACTCCGCGCCAGTGGAGCGAAGGTAGCTCTCCAGGACGCCATGGTTCGAGGAGATGTGGTGGGGATCAAGGTGAGGATGCGGAGGAGAGGAGAAGTTTTTGAACAAGCATCCGGCGTCCCAAAAGATGTTCGGGCTTGGCGTCGGTGGCTTGGGTCAGAAAAATTCCCTCCAGCGTAAACATCATCCCATGGCGCTTAGGTTCCAGGCGAACCGATTGGCTCGACCGTTAGCTCCAACGATAAACGCGCTTAACTTTCACCCCACAACTATTAACCATCAACCCAAAGTATCGCCGAATCAAGAGGTATAAAGATAATAAGTGCATTTAAATACTCTAAATTGCCGCGATTACTCTAATGGCAATACTAGTACTCTATAGCTTGCACATGGACAATTAATCTCTGCTGGCAGACTTCATTGCGGAAGGACGAATATAAGTAGCTCAAAGAACAAAGGGATTTCGAAAGTTCGATGAACTGATATTAAACCCTCTATGTGATTCTATTGGTTCTTTCGCTAATCAATCAAACAATTCTATTAAGCAGTGTGTTGAATATTGTAGAAGTTTGGCATTCTCCTTGTTCTCACCTAGCCTCCTGAGACAACGGAAACGAGGCAGGAGTGCCACTGGAGTCTGGGCACGAGAAAATACCCTTCGATGATATTGCTCTTTTTTAACGTATTAGTGAACTCTACCCCCAAAGCACGGAGCTGGAGGTCGTTGGCTAAGAATAGTGCTGGAAATCGACTATCCAAGCTATAGAGGCGTGGAAAAATAGACGTCCTGCAGTGAACGTATGCAGAGAAAGTGAGCAATCACCCATACCGAGTGTATGAAAGACTATTTTCAAAGTTGTGTAGTTAGGCTCCTAGAGAACATTGGAGAAGCGGAGTGGCCATCGATCGTACCATTTTAGATGGCTTGGAGATTGATCTATTAGAATAGTAGAGCGCACTAAAATGAAAAAGGGAAAAAAAGCAACGAAATGATTTCACCCAGGCTCGATCTGGGGACCTTTTGTGTCCAGTTTTGTAAACTGTTAGACAAATGTGATAACCAACTACATCATGAAACCATTTTCTTACAAAAATTGGTTACAATTAGATTTTACGCTTTTAGAGAATTCCACCCCAACGTAAAGCCAGTAGTTATATATAACAGGGACTCTCTAATTCCAGTAACCACTAATCATGCGCCTCTGTGATTCTATGGTGCTGCGTACCTGGAGAACAACTCTACGCTTTTTGATTCGAAAATCGGAGGGTTATTGAGTTATTAAAATTCACTTTTTGAAAAAGACACGGGCCCCAAACTGATAATCACTTGTAGCTATAGGAAGGAGCACCCGAAAAAATCATAGTTACCTCTCGAGTAACGGACAACGTACATAGATTCCTAACAAAAAAAGATGCCTTTAGCTGCACCATAGGAAGCCCACACAATCACTGGGCACCAGAATACTCTTATCAAGCTACCGACATTCAAAGAGGAACAAATTCACAACTGTTCTCCGTAATAAGGGCCAACAAAATAAAAAGAAATTTGAAGGCGGAGCAATCCCAATAACATTGCTACAACAGAAGTCAAAATTCAGCCTGCCTCCTCTAAGTCTCTCAAAACGCAAAAAGCAGCAAACATTCGCACGAATCCACCAATAATGGTTGCCGCATCGAAGTTGATATCAAGCCACCGGATTCTCTCGTTGGCGGGACCCGTGGGGACTATCCATCTCACTATCCATCCAAGATTTTTTGCTGCAAATGACGTGTGGTTGTAAGTTTGTCGCACTGTGAACATGCACCAAGCTCAACAACTATATAAATACAGGTCACAATTGCCTAGTCTATATTGAACAGAGTTCAGGTGGTAGAGGGGACCCGAAATCTTCCTATATGCTCTTCCCAGAACCATGTCAGCCATAGATATCCAAGGATGAGCCACTAGAAGAGAATTCTCAACTTACTAATACCACATAACTAACAAATGCTAAAGCAATTATAAAATCTCTCAAAGATACCCCATTACATACATGCGAGCAACAGAGACATGCACAGCAGTAAATAGATCTACCTCCCTCCCTCCACCTACTAAAAGACTGGGAGTTTCAGGTGTGGGCAGGCAGTACTAATGAGCAAACTATCTCCTGTCGAAAGTACAAGCCAGAGAGGCACTACAGAGCATTGTGATTGCCCGCTGGGGGTTGCGAGGTTGCAGTTAGCCACGGATCACCGAAAGACAATTCTCGTCCTGTGCTATTCATCTCAACAAGTAGTGATGGGCATGAGTCGGCTCGGTACGAACCTTAGGCAGCAGGCCTCGCAATGGTGCACCGATTTGCACCAGTTCACCGCCTTAAACTGGTTGGTATAAATAGTTGGTTAGTGTGGTTTTAGAAGACATCAGTGTAGTGGATTGTGGATGCAGTGCAGTTCCGCTGGCAAAATTGAACTGGTTTACGGCCAAAATACGCAGTAGCAAATTTGGGAAAATATGATAAGTAAAACTACCTTATGAGAGCAGCATTCCTTGCCGGTGATGTAAGAAATGGCAAATATACTACTATTCTATTGATATAAATAGAGTTTCAGGGTCAACTGCGGCCAGACTTACAGGTTAATGGGAGTCTATTGGAGTTCAATCGGATAAAGATAGATTAATACATACATGTCAGCAGACCCTGAGCGGCTCTTTCTGCAGCGAAGCAAACCTTGTCTGATGAAAGACATTCACTGGGAGCTACGGCCATAGAAGCAATTGAGGGTTTACACTCTGCTACAAAGCCTATAACTTGTACTTGCCATTAGATCTGAGGCAATTGTACTGTGAAGGAATGCTGTGGAGCAGTTGGATGATTTCCACAGCCATATGGGTGGAAAGCTTATTCAGTGCATTTTGGGTGAGATATTAACTGGTTCACTGCTTCACTATCAGTTGGTATTTGTTTCTAGCACCAATTAGAATGCAGTGCAGTTTAATAAGTTAAACAGTTGGTTTTAAACAGTGTAGTACAGTTTAGCCCTTGCTTTTACACCAGTTTGTACTGTTGCGAGGCCTGTCAGGCAGGAGCTTGTAGGCTCAGCTAATGGCCGGCAAAGCACACAAATACTCGGGTTGGTTCATGAGCTTGAGCCTAAGCTCGAGTCCAAGCTGGAGTTCAAGAATTATGGCATTCAGGCCGGCCCCACAGTTTCTCACTTGGAGTTCGGGCCGACTCAAGCTCCAAAGCTTGAGCTTTTAAACTCGAGACCGCTCAGCTCATGCCCATCACTACCAATAAGCCCTTAGATAGACCGCATACATCGTACACTGGTGACTGCTAATATTCCAGCAATTGAGTTCAATTATTTACCTTGGATACATTATGCGAGCCTTAATCTTGGCGGTAAAAAGTGTTGGATGGATAGTGGGATGGATAGTCCCCACGGGTCTCGCTCGTTGGAGTTCATAGTATGTCGCCATATTCAGGGGTTTTACAGCGTTCCAGACATCATAAAAACGAAACACAGCGTACACCATTCTCATTTCGCTTTCAGAATGAACGCCAGCACCGAGGCGCAAAAATTGGCGGAGAGTTTCAGTAGTCCTCTTAGCGACGTTGAGTAACAGACGCAATAACAAACGTTACGAAAAATTCCGCCCACTCCAGGCTGTCGTCGGCGACTATGACCCCTGGTGGACAGCGGAACTCGATGGTTCCCTTGGTCCCGTACCATAGGTTGGAGAAATTGAATCCAAAGTATCGATTTCCTCCGTCGTTGACGAGTTCCGCCAACTTAGTCATTGTCAGACACTCGTCAATGCTGTAAAAGATGTATGTGATGCTTTTTCCTTTCAGACCGGAGCTTGCACATATCGGTTTGCAATAGTTTGATACCCGGCGGTAGCATCGCCACTGCGGGCTCAAAGAACGTCGCGCAGCGGGCAACGGCCTTCACATCTTCTAAAGTCCATTTCCTGGAAAGTGATACATGGATATGAGTGGAGCAGGTTGGATTCGTTCTCACGACGCAAATTTCCTTGATTCTATTCCATACTTCCCTGACTTCACCACGCCAATCATTTCGGAATCTCAGGACCGGCGATACAATTTCTACCGGGACTACATACAAAAGTTAAAAATCAAAAAAAGGCATTATGGAGAACGCATACAGCCCGGGTCACTGGCGACTGTCTTCACATTGCCATCATCTGTTATGGACCAATAATCCAACAGAATTTCGCGATCGGAATCCAACGACTCAAGGAAATTATTAAGCATTACCCGCCTCCCAACTTTCCTGTTATAAAAGACGAGGAATGTCCGAACTAACTCCTCAGGGGCTAGCCTGGTGGCTGGTGTTGAACTGGTTCATAGATTATAGTTCGTGTGCTGACTGGCAGTAAGGTGCGCCGGGTGACCGGACATGCCTCCCGCGGATATCTAGATATGACTCTATTAACTTCCCTTGCTATACAACCACAACACTTACAGAGACCAAATTTAAGAGAATAAAAGAGAGGCATCTAATGCACATTCACCAGCGAGTAGGACCACCATGCCTGTGCAGGCATGTTGCTACACGCTCTGGCATACTATCTATATAGTAATAAATTCACTTCCAAGGTAACTTCTCCCACACCTCCTGTGCCAAAGCTATGAGCTCCTCTTCATTGTGGGGTATTCTTTTTCTCTCCCAAACTGCCTTTCTATACATCTTTTTAAAAACTGCCGATACATTCTCAATTGGATTGAGATCTGGTGAGTATGCAGGCCATTCCATGCGATGAATACCATGAGACAACCGGTACTTGCGAGTACTGTACCGGGCTTTGTGCTTCATACGTAATCAGTAATCAAGAGGGGTACAGTATGAAAGATTTCTCACTTTGTAATCGTAATCAAGGAAGGTATGAATGCAGCTAGTTGTAATCAACAGGGGCAGTAACTTGAATGAAATCAATTACAACTTGAATACATGCAAAAACTACAATCTATGTCTATTCCTAGTACAGTACCTTCATTCATCCAGCCGATCCTCAAGCAACTCAACATCTGTCAATTCTGATTCCGCACTACTCAAATCTAATCCACCTGTTCCAGATAATATGATCAACGGTATGAACTTTGGAAACTGTAATCCTACATGGTATAATTCATTCCGCTATGTAATCAGACCCCCCGGTATGAAGCACAAAGCCCGGTATGTATATTCTGAAGAATGATAGCTTGCTCCATCCTCAATGGTCTGAACACCGTTTCCCAATCCTCCTGCCTTTTCATACAGAGGTAGAAGGTGTGGAATAAGAATTTCGTTGACATATTGCTTTGAATCAAAACCAAGTCTGTCCTTTTCACTCTTTCGTTCATTTCCCCCACACTGCCATAGTACAACAAGTGGAGTATGATAGCCATTGCATCGCTCTCTACACCACTTCTTTCTTTGCTTTCGGCTTTTGGTATTGAGATATGGTTTGCGTCGCGCAAGAAAAGTCCATCGGTTCATCGCGCGCAGATAATTCCCTGTCGTGTGGGGTTTGACTGGTACGCAAGCTTCATTTGTAATTTCGGCCAAAGTCATTCGAGGATGTGCATCGGATAGACGTCGCAAGTGTCTTTCATCGCGTTCGCTGAGTCTGGGTACAGGTCCTGAATGGGGTGGAGGCTTGATTTCTCCCGCGCCAGTACTTTACTATTGCCTGAGCTTGACTTTTGGAAACCCCTGTCGCATCCTCAATTTTGCGATAGCTCTCTCCTCTTGCATGTCGCTCGATTATACTGACTCTCTCATTCACTGTTGCTTCGCGACGCTTGCCTGTTGCTCGATCTCGTGGCATTGTGTTGTCATAAAGTTGGGACTCGCGATCGCGACGTGGCTTGTGTAACGTAGGTGTCCGGTCACCTAGCGCACCCTACTGCTGGATCTCGGCTGAATGGCACGTGACACACGAGAAGTAGTTAGTCACTTCTCCTTTTTTCCTTCTCCTCTCGCTAGATCTTTAGATATTCTAATTCTCACGAGTTTTCTCCTCCACCCGTCTATACGGCTTCAACAGCTGGGTTGTATCTTAATTCGGGAACGATTTCCGTCTCAATAC